CTGTTCTCTCCTCCCCAAACCAGGGAAGACTTAGAAAGGAGTAATCCTTTACTCTCCGATTACGCACCACTTCCCTGCAGTCCACCGCCCCTCCTCAAAGCCATTCAGAGTTGACACAGATTAGGAACAATGCCATGTTATAATTCAAGCAGCATGTGCACTGTGGAGAGGAAGAGGAAACTCGGTTCTCACACAAGTGCCCAAGCCAGGAGGATCCAACTGAGGCAACCACTGGTCCTTGCACTACAGTATCTCATGTCTCTGGATCTCAGCAAATGCTCAGGAACAAACAGCCTCCTCTTGGTATATGCCATTCCATCCTAGTCCTAGCTTTGAGAGATGGGGCAAGAGTCATAAATTCTCAATAAAAAAAAAAGGTAATTGAAATTCACTTTCAGGAAGGCATATGAAGGCCACACAGTGGTGTTGAGCCATCAATCAAACTGACCTGAGTAGGATCTGAGTTTCAGACAGTGGGAGGGAGCGGGGACAGTCACTACTGAGGACCACACAACAGTGTGCATATAACAAGGCTGTGGTCCCTATCACCAACACCCACCACGACACTTCACTAGAGAATTCCAATACTTGAAAACGTAACAGTTTAGTCTCGAGACAAACCACTTCTGGTCTGGGCACCCACTCAAGTCTGCAGGACAAGACAGAAGACAAGTAATCAACTTTTTCTTCATTGGTATACTAAAACCTTATCCCTCTACTGAATCAACCTTATCCCTCTACTGAATCAATATAAAATGTTTTGGCATGAGTGATATATGGCATAGGTAGATTTGGGAGTAGAGATCCACCTATGAAAGCTTCTCCATTGTTCCCTGGCTCCACTCAACCTGCCACAGGCTGACTTCATACTAAATGAACTCTTCAGAGACACTGGTCCTGAAATTTATACACCTTAGCACTGAATCAATTCTTCACAACCATAAGGTTGTCAAGTAATTCAATACATGCACATTCATAACCAAGAATGTTTGAAAAATAAACAAGTTTAAACTCATTTCAAGGTGCTGACAAATTCTCAATGACCCGTGAGGGGACCACTCTCTAGAGGGAGCTGAGGATACCTCTTCATTAGCCACTGAGCTTCAAGGCTGCCCATAACAGGACAGGCTGAGCTAAAAAAAAGCCAGATGAAAATGCCACACCATAGCTCCACTATATTCCAAACCAGATATACATCATTTTAAAATCACCACTGAAAAGGTAAGACTAAATGTCAACATGAACAAGTCTAGTTGACCACCAAAGCATTTTATTTATAGACATAACACCCAGATGTAAAAATCTAGGGCCTCTTCTCTGTCCATCATTCTCCACAATGTTCAATGTGACTATTATTTGAAATAAAGCTTTCCCAAGTAAGCTGTGTGGAATTCAGTCTGCAGCCAGAGCTAATAGTCTTTCACCAAATGAAAGAGAAGATACTGTGTCTATTACCTCATACTCATAGGTCCAAACTCTCCCAAAGCAACTACCTCCTGTGTCTTCTGGGTCTTACCTAGGGAATATACCCAATGGGGAACCAAAATAGCCCAAAGCACATAAAAGAGATGGGCCTGCACATTCTTCCTGGGGTGCAGCATGATGACATTTTAGAGCCAACAAGGCATAGAGAGCCAGACAAGCCAAGCAAACAGCAACACCGCAGGTGGGCTAGGAGCTAATGGACCACAGAAGGCGACTCCAGTGAGCTGACCACATCCATCTGAACCTGCAGAGGCCCTCACAGCTCTCCCTGCTCTTTGAACTGCTAAAGCATGAAGTACAAAACGGACCTTTCATGCCAGGTGCAAACCCTAACACCATCAAATAGCAGGGCCTAGCCTGCAAATTGAGACAAGAGGTGCTTGGTGCACATTCTGCCTGCTGGGCTTAAGCCCTCGGGAGTCAGTGCTGTGACATGGACAATTCAGCAGAGGTTGGGTGGGGAGAATGGATGCATTTCTCTCTAACCACTTCACCACATTATCTTTGGAAAAATGGGCAGACATTATCTTGTTTTGTGTAGATCTGACACTTAGCAGCTGCTGTGATTTCCTTTCCCTTCACATTTTACAGGTGAGTTTTTCCTGCGTACTTTCTAAAAATTAACTATGTGTGGAGGCAACGGTTATTTTCTAATAGTCTGCGATCCATTTTTGTGATTGATTAGGCATGATGACGATTACCAGGATCAACAGGCTCCAAGTAATCAACAGGAGATTCTGTTACCTCCTGCGACATCCTCTCTCACCTCAACCTTTGCACTGCTGTGTTCCAAGCCAGCCAAGTGTTACTATTATGGCAGTTTATTTACTCTATTTCTGTACCGGGAGAATAAATGAGTTAGGCTGTGTGTTTGCCTTCTACAGATAGGGGTATCAGTCCGTAGCCAGGAGATGATCTGAACCTTGTAGGAAAAAAAAAAACAATTATTAAAATATACATATTGCATTTAGCTATTAAAAACCAACGGCACACAATCTGCTCTGAAGAAATTCCACTGGGAACTGGAACACACACAAAATATAAAAAGAAAAAGAAGAGAAAAGCAAATTGTATACATATACAGTATAGAGATTTTTTTTTCCTGCAGAAAAGTGCTGATCCAAACCTGCCCCAAGGAAATGAGTTCTTTTTAAACACAAAAATGCAATCAGGGATAATCAGCAAGTTAACAACATACTTGCAAACACCCTGGTCCCTAGAAAGGAAGAATGCCAGCTTTCAATACAAGTTTTGAGAACAGAACAGATCCTTTGGGCGAAAAAGAAAACAAGTGATCATGTCAGCGTCTTCAGGCAGAACTTTCTCCAAAGCCAAGAAGCTCTGGAACAGCAGTCAGCTCCAGAAGGCACCTGCTTGTGAGAAGCACTTCAATAACCACATTCCCAAAATGGTTTGTAGACTGGGGTTGCCTCTTCCCCACCCCTTCTCCCAGTGGGTTCAGTGGAGGAAAAACAGAAGCCAAATAAGGACAGTATAGATGCCTGGCATCTCCAGCTCTGACAGCCCACCCACAGGAAGAGAGAAAGATGTGATGCCTAACCCATTAAAAGAAAGGAGTGGAGACCCAGGCAGCTCCTGCAATAGCCCATGCATGACAAGACCTCTGACGTGTTCTAGTCTCCAGTAGGTACCGCCTGGGAAATAAATTTTCTTTTAATTTTTTTAAATATTCTTAAATAGCCACTGATAGCTAAAGTTCACATCGAGCACAACCTGCTTTAGGGGTTGGGATGTTCTGGAAACACTTAAGGAACACCTGCAGTTTTTAATTACAAATCCCAAGGTAGCAGGGCCTTACCTGAATGAAGAGATCTTGGGAGTCAGTGGCAAGGCACTCACCTGGCCACACCCACCTGGCACCACCCACCTGGCACCAGCCATCTGGCCTCCCTTGATCTTGTACTTGTTAGTTCTTAACTTTGATTGTGCATTGGAATTATGTGGAGAGCTTTAAAAATGTACAGATGCTTGGATCCCATGCCAAGAGATTCTGATTTAATTAGCCTGGGGTGTGGTCTGGAGCTTAAATTCCCCCAAGAAAATCCTAACATGCAGCTAAGTTGAGAACCACTGTTCTGCCCTATACCTCACATCACCTCCACAAAGAGACTAGTAGGGGATGGCAACATAAAACCCGTCTAAGAGAATCCAGGGCTTAACCCAAAAAGGATAGGAAGAAATGTGACTTCCTTGCCTACTGTGACCCTAACCTCTCAACATACATACCTGTATGGTCCGTTCTCAGCTTCTCCAGCAGTTCCTGCTACCGAAATCTAAGCTGTGAGTGAGTCTAGGAATCCAGGAATCTGGATTTTAAGTATTTGTCGAATGAAAGTTTGAGCCACCTCTCTTAGATCTAATCCCAAACAGTCAGGATTTGTTGAGCAAGGGAAGGCAGCCTAAGCCTTTGTGCCTCCCTGCTTCTCCCTGGGAAGTCACAGTTGAACCTGGGAGGTTCTCCAGATACGCTGTATACTCTCAGCTCCCTTGGAGGCTTGGCTGAACAAGGCTGTAGTCAATCTCTGTTCCTCTTTGCAATGTTCTCAGTACATGGAGAGGATGGGAAAGGGAACCACATCTAAAGAGGTACCTCATGTGAGAAATCCTCATTGACAAAACAAAGAGGCAAGAAGGGCCTGGCCCAGATGCCTCATCCACCTTTCAGACACCTCCTGGAGGGCTGGGAGGTGGGGCGGGCCACAAAGGAACTGGGTTCATTTTTCTTTACACAGGCATTCTTTATGTGAGGGATGATTAAGAGGAAGTGATGAGGAGTTTCCCAACTATCCCTAAGGGTCCAAACCTCAAGGGGTCAGGATGGACACAGGTAGAAATTTGGCAATTTCTGTTTTTGTTTTTGTTTTTTCTTTTTTGAGACAGTCTCACTCTGTCACCCAGGCTGGAGTGCAGTGGTGAAATCTCAGCTCACTGCAACCCCCAGCTCCCAGGTTAGAGCCATTATCCTGCCTCAGCCTTGCGAGTAGCTGTGACTACAGGCGTGTGCCACAATGCCCAGCTAATTTTTGTATTTTTAGTAGAGACAGGGTTTCACCATGTTGGCCAGGCTGGTCTCCAGCTCCTGACCTCAAGTGATCTGCCCACTTCGGCCTCCCAAAGTGTTAGGATTACAGGTGTGAGCCACCTTGCCTAGCCGAAATTTGCCAGTTTCTATCTGATTTCTTGCCCTGGGTTGACTGTGATAAACGGTGCTGCAGTGAGGGGCAAGCTGGGACAGACCCTACTTCATCTAACCCTCTGAGTAGGGTACAGAGCCCAGGGTTCAGGGGCCAGGATTCTCCTCCTGCTGAGATCTGACAGATTCGATTCTCCATTGAGAGTAGGCAAAGGATTTCCACTGCCTCCTCAGGGCAAGGGGCCCAGTGATCTAACATGAAGCTAAAGATGTGCATCCATATAGAACTGGTTTCTATCAGGAGCCCCAGCCTCAGCTATCCCGTGGGTGGGTCTCTAGCAAGAAAGGGAGAGGGTCTTACCTTCTGAGCAGAGCTTGCCACCATAGCCAGTGGTAGAACAGTCACAGGTGGGGTGGCCGTCCAAGAGAAAGCAGATCCCACCATTTTCACAGGGACGCTCACCACAGGGTCCCTCGGCATCCAACTGGACACCCTGGCTCCCTAGAAGCCGAGGCTCCGAGTTTCCATACTTGAGATCCAGAATTAATCCCTTGAAGCCGGGCATGGCCTGTACTCCATCAAGGGTCAGGGCAGAAGGTCGTATGTCAGCAGGGACTCCACCAAGGAACAAGTCACTGACCACATCCATGTAGGGCCGCTGGGGCTGCAGCTCCCCAGACTGGCCCTCGCCGTCAAGCATCAGCACCGTGCGCAGGCGGTCGCGGCTCACCATCAGGAAGTGCCAGCTGCTGTCATTCACCTGCTTGTTGGACAGCACAGCAGTCTCAGCACAGTCCATGCTGAAGCGGAGCTGAACGCGGCCATCCACCAGGGAGAGGCATAGGAAGTCGCAGACGCCGCCATCATCCAGGTAGAGGAGCAGACCCGTGGAGACGTTGGTCTTGAACTGGAAACTCAGGTCGCTGCGCGTGCTGGCATCCCAGCGGAGGTAGCGGGCCCACTGGTTGGGGAGGCCCATGAACTCAAGGCCCAGGCAGAGCCCCAGCAGAGACCCCAGCAGGATGCTGACCTTCAGAGTGAAGAAAACTGAGTGGAGTGTGGAACTCATTGTGGCTGCTGGACAGAGCCCAGAGGAGCAGACAGGCCAGGGAACAGCCCAGAGAGGATCTCTCCCTTTGGCAATAGAAGTGGGAGAGGAAGACAAGACGGAGATGGGGGGACAGAAAGCACACAGGACGAAGGCAGCACACACACAGATCCTGAGATGGTGGAGAGGGAGGAAAGTGTACAAGACAGTCCCAGAGGGGCACACAAGCAAGAAACTGAATAAAGGCAGTAGAAAAAGATAGGACCAGCAGAAGAGGAGGAAAATCAGGTGGGAAAGTGAGGGACTGGAGTAAAGAGGAAAGCGTCTTTCTCCAAGAAAAGATCTCAGCTATCCATGTGGATCCGGAGGCCTTGACTCAAGGAGGAGAAGGTGCAGGAGAGTAGGAAGAAGTCTTTAGCGATGCACTCCTCCCAACGGACCCCCAAATGCACTAGCCAGGGAGGCCAGGGACAGGGCCGGACTGCTGTGATGGAGGAGGAGTGAGTGGTGAGGTGAGCCAGGTGACAGGTAGAAACAGGCCAAGGACCAGTCCTAAAGTTCTACCTCCTAGCAGCAGCAGGCTGTGGGGAGGGGGGCAGCTAGAAGCCCAATGCTCAGACAGAGCAGGGCCCAGGGCAGAGCGCAAGCAGACTCAGGCTTCATGGTGCGGCCAGAGGCAGTGCTGCCCATAACTTGCCTCCCAGGACTCCAGAGAAAAGACCTGTGGGAAGAAGGGGAGGGAGAAGGAGAGGAAGATTAGGGCCATATATCAGGAAAACATTGCATCCTATTTCACAAGTATTGATGGAATGCTGACTTCGAGCCAAGCTATTCTAGTGATTGCTACAGCGCTTAGTGCTTCAAACAGGAGGGAGGCCCTGGGTTCTTCCAGAGCCACTATAAGACCCGAGCCCAGGTCCTAATGATGCACTCAGGTTTTCCATATGTAAAAATAATGAAAATCCCCAAAGCCGTATCAGCACATTATTACAATATTCACATCACAAGGTCACATTGCCAAAATGTATTTTTAAGATAAGTGCTAACATTTTATGTATTCAAATGCTCACACCTGATTTTTACTTATTTACCTATTAAAAGCATGCAAATGACATTAAATTTTTTTCTAGATTTTTCCTTTTCAATTTGACAACTCACTGTAGGAAGCCTAAGGCAGAGTGCTACCCCTAAATTTGTGAAAGAAATGTTTATAAAAATCAGTGAAAATAAACTGGAAGGTGAGTAATGAGTAAAATAATCCTCCTCTCTTACTGAATATTGAGAGAAGGGTTCTTTTACTCCGTCAAAAAAAAAAAAAAAAAAAAAAGGCTGAGTTTGAATCCTAGCTCCTGTATGTGGCACTCTGAGAAAATTTCTTAATCTATTTGAGCTTCTATTTCCTCATTTGTAAAGTAGAGAATATAATAGCCTCTTCCCAAGATTGAAGAGAGGAATCAATCCTAGCATAAGACTTTTTTTGGTTTTTGTTTTTGTTTTTGTTTTTTTTGAGACAGAGTCTCGCTCTTTTGCCCAGGCTAGAATGCAGTGGCATGAGCTTGGCTTACTGCAACCTCCACCTCTTCAATTCTTCTGCCTCAGCCTCCCAAGTAGCTGGAATTACAGGCATGTGCCACAACGCACAGCTAATTTTTGTATTTTTAGTAGAGACGGAGTTTCATCATGTTGCCCAGGCTGGTCTTGAACTTCTGATCTGCTCACTTAGGCCTCCCAAAGTTCTGGGATTACAGGCATGAGCCACTGCCACCGGCCACATGAGGCTTTTTACATAGTAGGTGACCAACAAATCCTAGGTTTCTTCCTTTATTTTTGAAGTGGGAAGGGACAGGAGGAGGGGTTATTTGTGTATGTCTGTGTATATGTGGATGTATGTATGGCTATAGAGTGAGCAATGTGTAAAAACAAAAATACTAAAAAAGATTATGAAAACTGCAGAATGGATGACAACTGAATAGTTAAGAAATTCCTAGAGTGATAATGGATAGTTCCGAATGACCTAGAGTATTTTACATGTATTTTATGATTATTCAGAAACAGTTAGAAATGTACCAGCATGCAGTTTGGTTTCTGAGGGCAGACTCTGGCCCACCTAACTGAGTTCTCTGTTCAGATCAAACAGTGAGTGTGATTTCTAGGAGCTGTGCAGGTTGCTTATTACCTGACACATTTGATAATTCACCATGGTCTCCATCAGAACATTGCTATCCACTATTTTTATGACAACCACATCAGCAAAGCTAGTTATTACCCCTTCTTTGAAGAGGAAGCTGCTGTTCCTTAACCAGGAACAAACACCTATTCCCAAGGAACAAACCCACCCAACCAACAAGAGGCTGATTAAATCCATCATAAGGAAAGCCTTTGTTCTATAAAAGCCTTTGTCCAAGCAATGTTCCCTAAAGTGTGGTACAGGTGCTGTGCCAAACTTCCATAGATTCTGACAGGGAAGGTACCAGGTTCAAGAGGCAGAAGAAGAATCCCAGAGCCAGCAAATGAGACATGGAGTTTTATTGGGAGCTTACATCCAGAGGAGAGTCCAGTGGTGGAGAGCCGGGTAGGAGAGCTGCAACTGCTTGCAAAAGCATGCAGTTTACACAGCATATTTACTTAGCACCCTCCCCATAACAGTCCCTATCTGGCAACCTTCATTTACCCTAGAACAAAGGGCCTTGATCCTCTGTATAGCCAGTGTTCCATGGGACCGGCCAGGGGCTCATATATTGCTCATAGAGAAGGAACAAATCTTCTGGTTGGCCACTCCCAGGTTCCCTAGTTTGGGACATATATTCAAGTGCATCTGCCATGCAGGGTCATTCTCAGGGTATGCTCAAGTTATTGTTATCAAGTCCTTTTACCACACACACAGGTACCCCCAGTGGTTCAAGGGATGCTCAGCTGAGACATGGACACAGGAGTGTGCTGGTGCCAACTCACAAAGGCTTGTGAGAGCCAACTGCTAAAACTTCAAAAACTTTGACCTGGTTGGCATGACTTTGGTAGCATGAAATAAAGAGGCAAGGAGTATCTACATCCCAGAAAAAAAGGCAAATACCACAAAGAGTCTTTGAGAAGGTGAAATTTAAGTAAAGACCTGAGGCTAGGCACGGTGGCTTACGCCTGTAATCCCAGCACTTTGGGAGACCAAGGCGGGTGGATCACCTGAGGTCAGGAGTTCAAGACCAGCCTGGTCAACATGGCAAAACCCCGTCTCTACTAAAAATACAAAAATTAGTCCTGGTGGCAGGACCCTGTGATCCCAACTACTCATGAGGCTGAGGCAGGGAGAACTGCTGGAACCCAGGAGGCAGAGTTTGCAGTAAACCAAGATCGTGCCACTGTACTCCATCCACTTGTTCCAACAGAACAAGACTCTGTCTCAAAAGAAAAGAAAAGAAAGAAAAAAGAAAAGACTTGAAAGAGTGTGAGTGAACCAGCCATGTAAGTACCTGGAAAGAATGTTTCAGAAGCAATAGTCAATGCAAAAGAACTGAGGCTGGAGTAAGCTGGTATATTTGAAAAACAGCAGGAGGTGGCTGCTGTTGGAGTGGAGTGAGTGGACAACATGAAGTCAGACGTGGATAACAGGAGGTTAGGACATGAAATGTGACTCAATTTCTAAGAATATGACCCTTGTATGAGGTGAGGTATGCCAACCAAGTCAAAGGGCAACATCTCAATGAAAAAAGAAAACCCTTCAATTCAACTGTTTATTGAGCTCTAATTCATTCCAGGCACTACCGGATCAAAGCAGAATAAAGACACCAATCTCACCCTCCAGGGCATCGCAAACTAGTGAGGGACAAGTTTACTTCAGAGACAGTAAAGCATGGCAATTAAGAGCCCAGGCTCTGGAACCAGATTGCTTATGGGGGACTCCCTGGAGGCAATGACTGCTTTAACACAGTGCCTGCCACAGGGCCTCATCATGGAGCTGGAGTTTGGGAAGCACTTATAGACAGAATGAACAGTAAAAGCAGAAGTGGAAAAGCATCCCTGTGGATTATTTGACTTCTGTTCCATGCAGTGGCCTCCATACAACCCAACTTTACACAAAGACGGCAATCCTGAGCCCCCATGCCTCTCTGGATGCCAACCTCACATGACCCCAATGAGCAAGGCAGCACATGCTTAATGACCTGGGGAAACCCATGAATGAAAAACTGTGCTGCCCAGAAACATTCCCTTGTGGGGGAAGATCATGGGCACTTACCTAGCCTGCTTTGTTGGGGCCACATACCCCTTCCAGGCTGAGCCTCTCCATTCATTCAGTCCCTTGTCCTTCCCCTCCAGCCCAGACCAGCACTGGAGATACCACCGTTCCCTGCCCTGCATCGTGGGGGATCAAAAAGGCTGACTGAGGAAACCCAAGCTTTCTTTCCCACAGGCAGAATCCAGTTTCAGAAGTGATAACATCAGAAGTGGGCTTATGTAGACTTAACCCTTGATGGTCTATCCACATTCTTTCCTACAGCCCTTCCATTTTATTCTGGTTTTGGACATTCATGCTGCCTCTGGGAAATTGCCAAAATGGCCAAAAGCTAGAGATGCCCTTACACTAAATATCGCAGGCCTCCAACTGCTGCCAACGTTTATGCTTCAGCCTTCTTTGGCCCTCTGGTAGGGCATGCCAGACTCAAGAAATGGCAAAACAGGAGCCAGGGAGCCCTCTTCACCTGACCAGACAACTTCCACCCTCTGTTGAGCCATAGGAGAATGCAGGCAGCCACACACACAGGTGGTTTGCCCCAGAGCCTGCATGCAGGGCCCGGGCTGGTGCAGAAGCTCAGAACACTTGTCTGTTGTGTGGGAATCAAGCAAGAGAGGGAAAGTGAGTGACATTATCTAATTGCCAGCTAATTTACATAATTATCGAACGGCACACTTTTTATGTGGGGTTAACATCTTTGCAAATGTCTCATAAGCCGGCTGCTTAGGAGGTGGCAGGGTGGTGCGGTGGGGGGCCTCACACAACCCTGACATGTGGGCTATTTGCCACAAGGGTGGCTCAGAAGATCTGGCTGCCATTTGCCCTCCCCATCCCTCCTCCCAATTTCATTGCTCCCTTTTCCAACTGCTTGGAGCTTTAGCTGAGCTTGAGACAGACTCAAGGAAGTCGGACTGTGTCTAGAAGTGGATTTTATTTAGGAAGTCATGATGATGACTGACCTTCTGCCCAGCCTTTGTGGGCATCCCATAGTCCCCAGGCGGGGCTTACCAGGTTTTCTTCCAGAAGCTTCTTATGACCTGCCCTCACCAGAACTGGAAAATCTCTCCAATGGCTCTCTGGTGGTTTTGCCCCATGTTCCCTGCACCCCTCACCCCACTTTGCAGGTAAAAGATTTTCACCACCAAACTTGCTCTGCGTCATTCAAGGTAAGGTTCATCCCAATCCCAAATCGTATGATCTCAGTTTAGTCAACTGGGGCATTCCAATCTCCTGGCCACAATGATTAGTTTCAAGATGGGTCTCTCACCCAGACTGGAAGTTGAATTTGAGTTAATGCCGGGACTTTCATTGGAATTATTGTGAAAAGGATCCTCTCTCTCTTCTTACCACATCATCAAATTATTAGAGTGAAGCTCAAACTTGACAGATACCATCATTACTGGTGGAGTATGATCCATCTCCACCATTGGAGAGGATTTTGTCTAATAATGAAAACAACAAAGAACAAATCAGAGCCAAGAAATAGATACAAAGAC